ACCTCTCCTTCCTTGCCTATCCCTTCTGAAGAGTTTACAGCCATCCATTGCAGCACTCCAGCTGAGCGAGTCATCCCACCATGTTTCCATGATTGTCAGTAGCAACCTTCTGCAATCCCACCTAATACAAGTTTTATATTTTCTATGACAACAACAGAGAGCTTAGAGTAGAACCTTAACGAAAGGTGAGGATGTCAAAGGTACGTGACTTAAGCCTTGCTGAAGAGCTTGAGCACATGTGAAAAGCCCGTAGCAAAAAAAGGATCTTGTCTGCATCTCTGTCTACGCTTGTATGCGTTCACGGTGTACCTTGCAAATTTTGGGAAAAATTGCTCTGATTCTTTCCTAGCAGTCAGTCAACACACTGAGCTTGCCCATCTCCTGAGGAATTGAATTTAGTAAGGCACTGAACAACTGCCACTGCTCCAGCAGGGTAACTTGCAACCTGAAATAATGCAGACCCCAGTTTGCGACATAAAGCTCACCCAGCAATATAAGCTAGCAAGTTTTATATAACATACTGTGCCAGTACTGTAAACATAAGCAAATATACTGCTTCAGCCTCTTACCAGTGACCACTGCCCATTTTCCGTACTGCTTGACAAGATCAACCTCGCCGCTCAGCTTTGGAATTAAATGCAACCTAAGCATGCTGTAAGTGTCAAACGCGAGAGAGACACACTTTCTGACTGTGTACCAAGCTCCAACTATAGCCAGGGCCTCTATGTAAAAATTGCAGGAACGACTGATCTCTCTGTACAAGAGGTAGAAACGATCCACTGCAGCCATGGTGATCACAAGCCTGGGAAAAAATAAAAGAGACACAGGCAATTACAATCGCCTCTTGGGCCATGTAAACTTTTCAGACTGAATGGAAAACCTTTGAGATTCAGCATGTTACAGTCTGAGCACCATTTTGATGCAGAAAAGCTACAAGTCAGCGTACTAAAATTTGGGTATCGTCTACCACCATCCTCACTGGTTTAGCTACTGTTTAGCCCTTGTTCAAGGGTTTAGCTACTAATCAGTTATACTGCAACGACACCGATCAACGACACTGTAAATAAAACAATTCAGGTCCAAGCAGATAAGGGAAGCTCAACATGTAAAAGCTAATTGTGGAAGATTAAGATCCACCTACAAAAGAAGCGAGTATAACCCACAGGAGAGAGCTGAGCACACAAGAAACGCCACGCTCTCCCAAGCACAGAAAGCTACATGAGAGACAAAGCAAGCTGAGAGACAGAAGCACAACTTTAGCCCCTGGCGCTATCGCAAAGCACTAACCCCTTCCCAGCAAGCGCACCGCATCTACCCTGTCCTTACGGTTTGAAAATCCTTGAACCACGGGACACTGCCGCGCACTAATGTCACATCGCCCACCGGCTCGCGATAGAAAGCTTGCTGTGCCTCACGAGGTTTTTAATAGCGAGTAATTTTTTAAAGCAAGCACAAAGCCCAACCGCCGCCTCCTCGGCAGCACCCGATCTACACCCGGAGCCGCCAGCTTACCGCCACTGGCTTTAGGGCCGTTACACACCGCCCTCCCCTCGCCCAAGCGCGCCGCAGGCCTCACCCCTCCCGCGAGGGATAGCGGGCTCCGGGCGCGCCCTTGCCGACGAGCCCCAGCGACAAGCGGGCCTGGCCCGG